CCCCTCCCCCTCCCCCTTCCGCTCCCTCGCCCCGCTCCCGGTTGCCACCCGCACTGGTGGATCCAACCGCCCCCGCCACCATGTCCATGGAATCAGCCATCCCGGCGATTGTACGTCGCGCGTCCGTCCTGCTGCCGGCTGCTGGGCCTGGCGTCTTTTCGCGCCGCTGGCCATCCACCTTGCCACTCACCCTGCCCCGGCCGCCATGCTCCCCTCGTCCGTTCCTGGCCCTGGCGCCAGATCATGCGCGGCCTGAAGGACAAGACCTACAGCAAGCGCAAGGCCGCCGCACAGGACCTCGAGCGGTGCGCCCCTCTGCCTCTCCCTCCCCCGCTGCCCGGTCTCCCTCTCTCTCTCTCTCTCCCCCCCTCTCCTCTCTGCCCCCTGTGCGCTCACACCCGTCCACCTCTCCGCCTCCCGCCCCCCGTACACGCGTACACACGCACATCCACACGCGCGCACAGCCTCGTCAAGGGCATCCGCACGGAGGACGCCCAGGTACAGAGCATCATCCACCATCTCGAGCGGGACCTCTGCCTGTCGGTGGACCCGAACGCCCGCAAGGGCGGCCTGATTGCCCTGTCGGCCGTTGCCATCGGCCTGTCCAAGGGGGTCAAGGCCTACCTGAACGCCATCATCGCCCCGATCATCACCTGCTTCTCGGACAAGGATGCCGAGGTCCGGTACTATGCGTGCGAGTCGCTGTTCAACGTGTCGAAGATCGCCCGAAAGGAGGTCATTGACCGGTGGTTCAGCGAGATTTTCGACAGCCTCTGCAAGGTGCATTTGCCCCGGGGCCCGGCGCGGCTTCCTCCTGGGCTTCCCCCTGCTCCCGCGCGCCCGCGCGCCCGCCCGCCCGCCGGCTGGGGCTGCTAGCTGACCCCTTTCCCCTTCGCCCCGGCGCCGGCGCCTCTCGGTCTCGGCCGCGCGCAGCTGTCAGCCGACTCCGAGCAGTCGGTGCAGAATGCCGCCGGCATGCTGAACAACCTGATCAAGGATCTGGTGGCGTCGGACCCATCCGGCGCGCCCAACTTCGACATGGACAAGTTCTTCGCCCTGCTGGTGGAACGCATTCGCGTGGTGTCGCGTGCGTGGCCGCCGGGGCTCGGCCCCGTGCAATCCCCGCCCGGCCGGCATCCTCGGCCGCCTTCCCCCCCCCCCCCCCCCCCCCCCCCCCCCCCCCGGGGACACATGTGCTGACTGTCCCTCCTTGCCGTCTCTCGCGGTTTCGCCCCTCGCTCCGCTGCTGGCCCCCGGATCTGCCGGCCGGCCATTCGCCGGCCCGTAGCCCAGCTCCGGATCTTCATCATGGACTGGATCCAGCTGCTCCATGGCATCCCCAGCCTGGACTTGCTGTACTACCTGCCGGCCTTCCTGCCGGGGCTGCTGTCCTACATCGCGGACACTCGGGTCGATGTGAACATGAAGGCCCGGGCCATCCTGAACAGCTTGCTCGAGGGGGTGGTGGCCTCGCAGGCGCTGCCGGAGGTGACCCCGTCCGGGGCCGGGACCCCGGTGGCCGGCGCGTCGCCCGGCCCGGCGGCCAGCGCCTCCGGCGGGGAGGGCACCGCGCCGGAGTCGGAGTCCGAGGCCGCGGCCACGGCCGGCGACACCCCGCCCGTGGTCGGGATCCTGGCCATCGCCGCGGCGTCGGCGGCCTCGGCGGCCTCGGCGGCCTCGGGGTCCGGGTCCGGGTCCGGCACCGGGTCGGGGGAGACTGCCGACACGGCGTCGCCCCTGGCCGCCGATGTCGGCGTCAGCGTCCAGCGCCCCTTCGACGTGGCGCGCATTGTTCCGTCGCTGCTGTGGGCGTGCTGCTCGCAGGACCCGGCCATGCAGGCCAATGGGCTTCTGTGGATTTCCGGCATCCTGTCCTCCGGGAAGTTCAAGCGCGCGCTCGTGCCCCTGGCCGACCGCCTCGTGCACGGGGCGCTCCTCTGCGTGTCGCACAACCTCAACAGTGCGTGTGCCCCATATGCGCCGTGAAGGGAGGCCGGGAAGGGGGGAAGGGGGGGGGGGGGGGACACTCGTCTGCCGCGTGCGCCCCGTCGCCCGGCCACACTCATTCTCACCCTCGCTGCCGGCATGCAGACATCAAGAACGCCGCGCTCGATGTGGACGCCGCCCTGCTGGCCCTGTTCCTGGAGTCGACGTCGGGGGCGGGCTCGGCCGGGCGGGCGGCCATCGCCGGCGGCGGCGGCGGCGGCGGCGCCCCCTCGGCCGCGGCCTTCCCCCTGGACCGGCTGATCCACGAGCTGTCGCAGCTGCTGACCCACGGGGCGGAGGCCACGCGGCTGGCCGCCCTGGAGTGGCTGCTCATCATGAGCCAGCACGAGGAGGGGGCCTTCGCGGCGCAGCTGGGCCGGAATTCGGGCCTCTTCTCGGCCCTGCTGCACTGCCTGCTGGACCCGAGCCCGCGGGCCACGCGCACGGCCATCGACGTGCTGGCCACCCTCGGGTCGCACATGGGCCCCAAGTGGTTCCGCCGCTGCTGCGAGTGCTTCCTGCAGATGCTCCAGGGCGACAAGAAGGTGCGCCCCCCGCTGCGGCTCGCCCGCGGCTGGGCCTCCCATGCGGCATAGGATGGTCATCAGGCGTGCCTTCTTCCCATTTGCCCCATCGGCCTCTGACACACGCACGCGCATCTGCAAACGCACGCGCATCTGCAAACGCACACACACACACACACCGCACACACACACATGGCCCCCTCCTCTCCTCGGGCTCCTCGCCATGCAGATGATGCAGGAGCGCTGTAGCCTGATCGTCCGGCAGCTTGCCATGACCCTGACCCCGGAGAGCGTCTTCAGCACCCTGGCCGACATTCTGACCGAGGCGTCGCTGCCGCCGGGGACCGGCTCCGCCTCGGCCAGTGGCGCCGGGGATGCGACCCCCGCCGCGGGCGACGACACGGCGGCCGCTCCGGTCACCGAGTCTCCGGCGGCCGTGGCGGCGACGGTGGCACCCGCTGCAACTGCCGCCGGTGCCGCCTCTCCCAAGTCGGGACGAGCCCAGCCCCGGCACTTTGCCCTGTATGGGACCTGCCCGCCGCTGGACCTGGCCTTCGTCGAGAGCCTGGTCCAGGCGCTGCATTTGATCCTGATGACCAGCTCGGAGTGCGCGCGCATGCGGGCGGTCCTGCGCGCCACTGACGACCGGGCCCCGGAGTCCGCGGAGTCGGCGTCTCTCTTCGCCCAGCTCTTCCGCTGCTGGTCGCACAATGCCGCGGCCTCGATCGGGCTCTGTCTCCTGGCCGGGCGCTTCCTCCAGGCATATGAGCTCATCAAGCTGTGGTGCGCTCCCCCCCCCCCCCCCCCCCCCCCCCTTGGCCGGGTGGAGGGCAGCGGCGCCAGCGCCGGCCCTGACGCCTGGCCCTCCTGCCTCGGGCCTTCGCTGGGGCTCTCTAACCTTCTGCCGCCGCTCCCCTTCTCTGCTTTCCCCCCTCCCCGTGGCAGCTCTTGCGACATGGACGTCACGGTGTCCTTCCTGGTGGACATCGACCAGCTGATCCACCTCATCGAGTCGCCGGTCTTCACCCGTACGCCTGGGGGTTTTTTGTTTGTTTGTTTTTTTTTGCGCTGTTGCTTCTTTCTCTCTCCCCCTTTCCGACCTTGGTGCCCCGCAGCGCCCGGCCGGCCGGCCGGCCGGCGGGGCATTCTCTGACCTTTTTATATTGCCCCATCCCGCGCGCCGGCCATGCATGCGCGTGCCACCGCCAGCCATGCGCCTGCACCTGCTGGACATCGCCAACAATCAGTCCCTCCTGCTGGCCCTCAATGGCTTGCTGATGCTGCTGCCCCAGTCGTCGGCGTACAATATCCTGAAGAACCGGCTGTCCTCGGCGTCGGCCATCTCCGCCAGCGCGGCGGCGAAGTTGCCCGCCCCCTCGGCGGTCCCCGGGGCCGCGCCGGTGGTGGCCTTCCCTCTGCGTGACCACCTGGACCACCAGCACATCGAGCAGTTCATCGCATGTCAGCAGTCGCACAGCGCCGTGCGCAGCCTCGGTATGTCGACCTGCTGCCGACCCGCGGCCGCCCCTTGGTTCGGTTGGCCTCTGGATTAACTTCTTTTTTTTCCTTTTTTCGTTCCTTGGCGCGCTCTGTCCTCCCCCTCCCCCCGTCCCCCGTGCCCAGCCATGACCATGCTCAACACCCATTCCCGAAACCGGAACCTCTTTGCCTTTGTCCAGTCACACCCGGAGACGGAGAAGGTCCGCCGGTCGACCGTGGCCACGTACCTGCTGTCGCAGAAGCGCAGCCCGATCGACATCAGCCAGGTGCGGGATCTCCTGTAATCGGCCGGGGCACGCGTGCTCCCTCCGCGTGTGTCTGCCAGCCGGGAAGAGCTCGGCTCGGCCGCCCCCCCCCCCCCCCCCCCCCGGCGAGATATGCCGGTGCCCGGCGAATACTACCACCCCCAGGCGCAAAGGACAGGGACATGCTTTGTCGGGTTCTATGGCGCGGGTATATTGTCCAAGAAGAGGAAGCCCGTGCGGCGGGGTGTGGGTGGGGGGAAGAAAGAAAGCCTGTCCCGAGGGGGAGAGAGAGAGGGAGGGAGAGCGGGGGCGGGGAGCCGTGGCCGGCCGGCCGGCCAGAGGCATGCGCACGCCCCGCCCTCAGAAAGTCCCGGCCCCGGCCGGCTCGCCGGCCACCGGGTGGATCGCCGGGCTGGCATAGATATCCGACGTGATGACCGGCGTGGTGGTGGGGCTGGCGACGGGCCCGGGGCCCGGGGTGGTGGGGCTGGGGTTGAGCTGCGGCGAGGCGCCCGGCGAGGCGGCGGGCTGGCCCTTGCGCTGGGCGCTGTTGCGCCGGGAGCGCGAGGACAGGCGCCGGCTCTTGCCGCGACTGGGCGAGGAGGTGGGCCCCGGGTCGGCATCGGCCCCGGGGGAGGCTGCGGGGTCGGGCGACGTCCGTTGGGGAGGGCTGCCGGGGGGGGCGCCCCCGGCGCCGGTGTTGGCCGGGGCCCCGGCACCGACGCCCAGGCGCCGGAGGAGCCGGCTAAAGAAGCCAGATGCCTCGCGCGGTGGCGATGCCGCCGACGATCCGGACGCCGAGGACGGCGCCAGCGAGGGGGAGTACGACGCGTGGTGGTGGTGGGGCTGATGCTGATGGTGGTGATGGTGGGGGTGGCCATGGTGCCCGTGTGCGGCGGAATGCGCGAAATCCCCCTCGAGGCCGGAGTCCAGGAAGTCCGACCCGGCGCAGGGGCCAATGCTGCCGGACCCTCCGCCGCTGGTCGAGTGCGACAGCCAGCCGGCCGACCCGCCATGAGCCCCGAGCGACTGGCTGCGGGGCTTGTCACTGGCCGGGTCGCCGCCGGGGCCGACCGCATGCAAAGAGCCGCCGGGGGCGGGCGAGTGCCCGGCCGAGGGGAATGGCGAGTAGAAGTGCTCCGGCGTCGAGGATGAAGGATACCGGTAGAGGAGGGACCCGGCCGAGCCGCCAGCCGGGCCGCAGCCCGGCATCCCTGCCGACGAGCATCCGCCATTCCCCAGACAAGGGACATCATGGCACAGGGATCGCGGAAGGACGGCCCCCGGGCAGAGGGCCGGGAAGGAAATGCCCAGGGACAGGTACTCGGGGAAAATGCCGCCCGGGCCGTCATCCGGCGTGATGCCGGGGTACACGAGGCTGTGCGATGCGCCGGCCGGGCCGCCGGCGGTGGCCGCCTCCCACCGGGGCGCGCATGGAACTGGCCCGGCGAAGTACGACTGGAAGGGCCCGGCTGCCGGGCCGCGCAGGGCCCCGATCGGCTCCTCGTGGGAGTAGAGATTCTGAAGGAAAGACAGGAGGTTCGAGTGGAAGGGCTCGCCCGAGCCGGTAGGGCTGATGATGGATGCCGCGCTGACCGGGATCTCGGGGTCCTGTGTGCGTGTGCGGCGTGCCGGGGGGGGGGGGGGGG